AGCTCGTCGCTCATTTGCTTCCCCGCGAAGATGAGGCGAATCTGCTTGCTGCAGCAGCAGCAGCAGCAGCAGCAGCAGCAGCAGCAGCAGCTAGCTGCCGCGGCGGAGCTGCAGCACCATGTGGATGGTGCAGCCCGGAGCCACTCTGTAGTCGCTGAGTTTGAGCTCGTCGCTCATTTGCTTCCCCGCGAAGATGAGGCGAATCTGCTTGCTGCAGCAGCAGCAGCAGCAGCAGCAGCAGCAGCAGCAGCAGCAGCAGCTAGCTGCCGCCGCGGAGCTGCAGCACCATGTGGATGGTGCAGCCCGGAGCCACTCTGTAGTCGCTGAGTTTGAGCTCGTCGCTCATTTGCTTCCCCGCGAAGATGAGGCGAATCTGCTTGCTGCAGCAGCAGCAGCAGCAGCAGCAGCAGCAGCAGCAGCAGCTAGCTGCCGCCGCGGAGCTGCAGCACCATGTGGATGGTGCAGCCCGGAGCCACTCTGTAGTCGCTGAGTTTGAGCTCGTCGCTCATTTGCTTCCCCGCGAAGATGAGGCGAATCTGCTTGCTGCAGCAGCAGCAGCAGCAGCAGCAGCAGCAGCAGCTAGCTGCCGCCGCGGAGCTGCAGCACCATGTGGATGGTGCAGCCCGGAGCCACTCTGTAGTCGCTGAGTTTGAGCTCGTCGCTCATTTGCTTCCCCGCGAAGATGAGGCGAATCTGCTTGCTGCAGCAGCAGCAGCAGCAGCAGCAGCAGCAGCAGCTAGCTGCCGCCGCGGAGCTGCAGCACCATGTGGATGGTGCAGCCCGGAGCCACTCTGTAGTCGCTGAGTTTGAGCTCGTCGCTCATTTGCTTCCCCGCGAAGATGAGGCGAATCTGCTTGCTGCAGCAGCAGCAGCAGCAGCAGCAGCAGCAGCAGCTAGCTGCCGCCGCGGAGCTGCAGCACCATGTGGATGGTGCAGCCCGGAGCCACTCTGTAGTCGCTGAGTTTGAGCTCGTCGCTCATTTGCTTCCCCGCGAAGATGAGGCGAATCTGCTTGCTGCAGCAGCAGCAGCAGCAGCAGCAGCAGCAGCAGCTAGCTGCCGCCGCGGAGCTGCAGCACCATGTGGATGGTGCAGCCCGGAGCCACTCTGTAGTCGCTGAGTTTGAGCTCGTCGCTCATTTGCTTCCCCGCGAAGATGAGGCGAATCTGCTTGCTGCAGCAGCAGCAGCAGCAGCAGCAGCAGCAGCAGCAGCAGCTAGCTGCCGCCGCGGAGCTGCAGCACCATGTGGATGGTGCAGCCCGGAGCCACTTTGTAGTCGCTGAGTTTGAGCTCGTCGCTCATTTGCTTCCCCGCGAAGATGAGGCGAATCTGCTTGCT